AAATAACGATATTAATTTGAAAAACTCTATTTATATGTTATAATTTGGTTTCAATTGATAACAAGTGTTAACATATTAATATAAATTTATTAATGAATAATTATTTCAATAATATTAACTGTTTTTCAAAAACAATAATAAATTTTAGGTCATATTATTTTTAAAAACAAATAAAAAAAGCATTTGAAAATGTTTTAACCAATGGATAAGTAAATAATAAATAAATTTGTTTCTTTTTTTATTTCAAGTATTTAAAGTTCAAACAATCAATTAATAATAATAGATATGTCCAAACTCGACAGTTACCACATCATGATAGTCACAAAGTATTTCACAACAATAGAGGACTTTGTCAACCTTGAATTTGTATGCAAGAAATACAAAGGCAACATGGAGAAGTTTCATTTCAACCCAATTCCGTTGAATTACAAAACGATCAAATACTTTACAAATATTGAAACACTCCACATGTGGAATTTGGAGGATAAAAACTTTGGTAATGATTTTTATGTTAATATAAAACACCCTGAAACTCATAAAGATATCAACACTAACAAAAATATCGAAATAAAAATTGATTTTTATAGAATTGTTGTGTGGTTCAATGTTGATTATACAACAGTTGACATGAACAGAAATAAAAACATCAATTTTAAGAGTGTTACTTACACTAATCAAGATAGAAAGAGATATAGTGATACTTTACCGCCAATTGTGACATCACTTGGCGAATGGTGTCTTTATGGATGTTCAAATTTAAGTGGTGTTACTATACCAACAAGTGTCACATCACTTGGAAAAGAGTGTTTCAATGGATGTTGTAGTTTAAGCAGTATTACAATACCATCAAATGTTGTATCACTTGGTAAATTGTGTTTTTTTTCCTGTCGTAAGTTGAGCAGTGTTATAATACCATCAAGTGTGACATCAATCGGTGATCAGTGTTTTTGTAATTGTAGTGGTCTGAGCAGTCTTATAATACCATCAAGTGTGGAATCGATTGGTGAAAGTTGTTTTAGTGGATGTGATCATCTTACCAATGTTGTAATACCACTATTTATAAACGTTGTTATTGGAAATAGATGCATGTTTGGGTATGAAACATTGAGCAGTGTGGAAATACCAACAAGTGTAATTGTGATCAACAATAAAAAGTTAAACAACGAATATAATTATACTGAATTTGATATACCACCCGGTTTCACATCAATAAATGACAACTGTTTTTATGGATGTAATACTCTGAACAAAGTGACCATACCATCAGGTGTTAAATCACTTGGTGAAAGATGTTTTTGGGAATGTAAAAATCTAAGCAGTGTAATAATACCACCAAGTGTGACATCGATTGGTAAAGCCTGTTTTTGTGGATGCTGTAATTTGAAAAATGTGGATATACCATCAAGTATAACATCAATACCATATTTTTGTTTTACTAATTGTAGTTATCTGAGTAGAATAATACTACCATCAAGCGTAAAATCAATTGGAGAACATACTTTTAGTGGATGTAGCAGTCTAACTTCAGTAGTTATACCGTCAAGTGTGACATCACTTGGTAGTTGGTGTTTTGCAGGTTGTAAAAATTTGATCAATGTGGATATATCATCAACTGTGACATCATTTGGTAATTTTTGTTTTGAATCTTGTTCCAGTCTCAAAATGAAAAATTTAGATACAGTCTGACAATAATTAATGATATATGTTTCAACAGACACGTTTTTATTATTATAATCGATTTGAAAATAATCGAGTTTTAAATCGTTTGTTAATAAAATATTATAAAAGTATAGAGGTTTCGTTATAGTTTAATAAATACAGTAATACCTCCCAAGAGTGGTAAAATTGAGTGATTGTGTTCTCTTAAGAGCGGGCATTTTTAGCCAATCAGATTTTTATTACCGCTCTATAGAGAACTCTATTTTTAGTTATAGTCTAAAAATGCCCGCTCTTGAGAGAACCCGCTCTTCAGAAAAAATATTGTTGGTAAGTATTACATAATATTGTATTAGACGTATTATTATATATTAGTATATTTTGATCATTTAATAACTTAAAATATAATATTTATTAAAATAAATTATTGATGTAAATTAATTGTTTCGAGTTTTTGTACAACAATTGTAATCAATTGCCGTTTTATTTGCTCATCATCCCAACACTCTAATATTAAAGTATACTCCTCTTGAGTGATTGACTCTCTTTTTTGAATTCGTTTTCCAGAAATAACAAACTTTGCGATTTTCCAAGGAAATTTGAATTGTTTTTTATTGAATGGTTCTTTCTATCCAAATACTTCATACATGGTGACGCCAAAAGTAGATATCCGAAGATATTTTGTATTTCTCTTTATTCAATATCTCACGAGCTATGTACACAGG